CCTCCTCGTCCTCGTCGTCCATGCACCACTCAGGCAGTCCATCCTTGTCATCCTCAAAGGCATCACTGCCCCGGTCCCGCCCCCCACCTCCTTCCTCCTCCCGCTCCCGGAAATCGAAGTCGAACTTGCGCCGCCGGCCCTCAGGGTGCTCCCGCCAGCCTGCTGAGCGGGGTGCGCCATCTGAGGGGGGGGTTAGACACTGAGCACAAAGGAGGGACAGCCCTGTGCCAGGGGGACCTGGGCTGTCATAAGGGGTCCTCCTGGCCCTGTCCACAAACTCAGAATGAGGAAGGGACCCGAATGAAGAAGGGACCCACCTAGGCATGCCCAGAAGGGGAAGAGCTCCACCACTGTCCATCCTGCCATGGCCCCGCCCACAAACCCAAAAGAGGGAGAACACCACCACTGTCTCTGCCCCCGGCCTGTCATCCCTTGGCCCTGCCCGCAAAGGTCTCGGAGCCCCCTCCCTTGCGACAGGCCTTACCTGGGCTGGCCGACCGCCAGCGATCGCTTTCACGCCGGCCCCCGCTCAGCCGCCAGCTGCCCCCCACAGCTCCCCCAGCGGGGGTGGGGCCAGCCCCCCCGCCTCCCCCTTCCTCCTCTTCGTGTTCCTCCCGCAGCGTCCGCCAGTTGTTGCTGTCCGAGCGGGCATAGTCCTTGCGGGGGGGTGGCCCCTCCTCAAAGGGAGCCCGGGCTGGGGGTGGAACAGAAAAAGTAGTCAGTGTGGGGACCTGTGACCCCATGACCAGCTTCCCTAGGAGATCCCATGTTCCCTCCCACCTGTAACCACCTACACAGGCCGGCAGCTAAGGAAAGAGCTTCCCCAGCAGCGCACCAGGAAGAGAGGGAGCTCCCTGTGTTGGAGACAGTCCCCTCTTCCTCAGAGCGTCTAGGTGCTACCAGTCAACAGGGGCCCCATTTCTTGAGCATGACTGTGGGATTCCTCCCCCCATCCCAACACGATCTCTATAGGATCCCCAACAGAAAGCATCCCCCCAGGTCTCCCCAAGCCAATCACCAGGACTGACCAGGCTGTTACAGGCCCCATCACTCCCAGTTCCCCCCACAGAGGACCAGGAGCCACCTACTTCCATCTCGACGGGTTGGTTTCTCAAACCTCCGCTCCCCCCTGTCAGAGAGAGAGATTGATCAGAGTTGGCTCCCCTATCCCCATGGGCCTCCAGCCCAAACGTGCCCCAGCTCACCTGTCGTCCCAGCTCTGGCTGCGATGGATCTCTCGGCCCCCACGCCCAAATGCCCCCTCCGCCTCCTCTGGGCTTCTTTGGTAAAACCCGCTCTCGCCTCGGCCCCGGCCTAAGGGGAAAAACAGCTGAGACATGGGCAGGGGCTTCCCTGCCACCTCCTGGGATCCCAGGAGGTTAGAGGGCAGTCAGGGACAGTCCCTCCCCTTCTCCCAATTCACCTAGCTGAGTCCTCACACCTGGGGCATGCCCACCTCCCTTCCCACCCCAGTCAGCATTAATCCCATGTCTCCATCTATGGCATTAGCTTCCCTTCTCTCTTCCCCCCCACCCAGTTCTGCTGCCCAGTCCCCAGCCCCCCCAGATACCTCGGCTCCGGGTACTGCCCCTCCCCCGGGAGACTCCTGTGGGGGCAGCTCCACCTCCTTTTCCCATCAGCCTTAGCACTGCCACGCTGTTCACAGACATGGAGAAATTCCTCTGCAACAGAGCCAGGGGCAGCATGATTAGCACAGAGAGATCACTAGATCATGTCTCAGGTGGGAACCAGTGCCCCCCCTAGAGGGGACAGGTCCCATGACCCCATTTCCCACCCCCGTGAGCCAGCCAATCCCTGCCCTAGGGCTGGCCCCCTTTACATAAAAAGGTGTTTGCATTCACCCAGCACAACAGGGCCTCCAATCTCTGTCATGGGAGAGAGGGCTAATTGTGTGCAGCCCCTCGCACGAGGGGATTCTGCTCGGGGGTTGGGGCTGGGATGCCCAGGGGCCCCGATGCCCAGGGGCCCCACAAAGTACTGCCCAGCCCCAATACCTGCTCCTCCTCTGTGAGTGGTACAAGGGCCAGCGGCTGCAGCGGCTCCTCCTGCAGGATGGCAGCGAACTCCTTGTCCAGGATCTCCTCTGGGACCTGAGGAAGGGCAAAGAGAGCAGCTGGGGTGCCACCTATCATGCTGGCTTGGCCACACCCCCTTTTTAAGAATAGCTTCCCCCACACAGCTGTGACCCCTCCCCCTCCCCCCCACTTCACCACAGAGAAAGCTGGGAGGGGAGGCTTAACCAAGCACTGATTTCAGCTCCTGTCTGGGGAACCCATCCATCCCCCAACAACTAGTGGCCCCTCAATGCAGGACACACAGGGCCTCTGCATGGGTCCTCCCGCCACGAACCTTGAAACAGGCTGCCCCCCATAGAGCTGGGCAACCATAACTCCACCTCTGGTCACTGCCATGCCATGAACCCTGGGACACTGTGGGTCACCCCACTGGGCAGCCATAATCCCTCCCCAGCACTATTATGGGAGGAGCCCAGGTGTACTACAGGTTGCCCCACTGGGCAGCTATAGCCCTGCCCCGGTCACTGCCATGAGCCCTAGGATACTACAGTCCCACTGGAAACTCTTGCCCCACCTTCTCCTCCCTCCATTTGCCTGGCTTAAGGGAAGCTCCACAGCATGGACTGGGCTTTGGCTACCCACCTTGGCTAGCACCTTAAAGGTAGGTGTTACAAAACCAGCTCCCAGGCACCCCTACCCACAGCCAGGCCTTGGGACTACCTCTTTCCTCAGTTCCCCAAACTCTGTAAGACCCTGGTTGACCCCCTCTTCCCCCCGCCTGGGAATCTGCCTCCTACAACTGGGGCCTCACCATGCAGCTGGGGCACACGCACCTTGTTCTCTTTGACGTAAAGTGCTAGCATCTCTTCTCTGCCGTAGCGATACTCAGCAAGCTTGTACTTTGGCATGGCAGGAGAGGGTGGGGGGGAGGCCAAGCTCCCCCCACTGGACAGCGCACGGAGCCTGAGGGACAGGACAGATGGACAGTCAGCCATGGCATGAGAGGAGACTCTGGGGCACTGGGGTGTCTGGCCAGCAAGGAGCCTACAAGTCAGAACAGTTTAGACCAGTGAGAGGGTGGGGGAAGGAAACCAAGATGCCTGGGTTCTCTCCCCAGCTCTGGGCGGGGAGTGGGGGCTGGCAGCTAGGACACCTGGGATCTCACCCCAGCTCAGGAGGTCTAGTGGTGGGACAGGAATGAGGGGAGCAGAGCTTT